AATGGTTGCGTTTGGGCAACCATTGGTAGATGCCTTTAGGAACAAGAAATCTCCTAAACCGGCATTTACCAATGGAGTGGCCTTTCTTGCAACAATATAAGCAAGCAAAATCAACTTTAGAGACACTTTCACTTGCTTGATCCCTAATTACATATGCATATTTTTGGTATGGGTTAATCATACTTTTTCTAAAATCCTTTTTATCAATAGCAAATGTAACTTTAGGTTCAAGTGCCTTGTTTAATTTGGCCTTGAGGTTTCTAACCTCACCTTGCCAAATATGACAAGTACCACACCCGAAGTTGAAAGGATTTCTATCGTCTTTACAATCCGATTCATTGCCTTTCACAATGGAAGCCTTAAGGTCCTCTAATTTCTTTTCGGACTCTTTAACTTTATGCTCTAAATACGTAAAGATTTTCTTATTAGAAGCAAGTTTCTTGAAGGCTTCAACTGCTTCATTATGTAAGGCATGAAATGCGGTTTGTAATTCTGAATGCGACATATTTGAGGACTTATCATATTTAGAGTGACGTACCTGTTTTTTCTTATTTTTCTGATTGGCAGAGAGGCATAGATTCACGGACTCTTCTTCATCACTAGAACTTTCATCAAAGGAGGAAGAGTCGCTGTCACTTTCCCATGCTATGTACGCTCTCCTAGGCTTTGATGATTTCTTGTGTGATTTTGATGATTCCTTGTCCTTTCCCTTTTTATTCATTGGACAGTCCGGTTTGTAGTGACCGGGCTTTCCACACTTGTAGCACGTCCCTCTAGTCTTTTTACCTTTCGAGTCATCATCCTTGGAGTGTCTCGATTGTTTCCGGAAGTTTACCAAGTTCTTCTTGGAATGTTGGATGTCGTTCTTTCTCACGTAACGGTTATACCGTTTAACAAACAACCCCATATCTTCGCTTGTGTCCTCTTCTTCTTCGTCGCTCGAGGAATAATCATTTTGCTCTTTTGCTTGAGACTTCGAGGAGGAAGTCTTGAGAGCTATCGATTTCTTTTCACTCACCTTCGTTTTGTCTTTCTTTTCCATCTTTTCGCGTTGGCCTAAGCTCAAGAGTACCTGTTCATGCTCTTGTAATTTGCCAAACAATGTTGTTAAATCTAATAAGGTAAGATCATGTGCTTCTTTGATGGCGGTCACTTTAGGCTGCCATTCCTTGTTAAGACATCTTAAGATCTTATTAGTAGCAATATCATTGGAAACAAGCCTACCTAATGAATGCAAACGATTGATGAGATGAGTAAATCTCTTTTGCATGTCAGCAATGGTTTCCCCTTGCTCCATGAAAAAGAGATCGAACTCTTGAGTTAATGTATTGATTCTAGCCAACTTAACATCGTTTGTCCCCTCATGGGCTATTTGTAGTGAATCCCACATGGCCTTAGCAGTAGGACAATGGGATACACGGTAGTATTCATCTACACCTAATGAGGAGATTAAGATGTTTTTAGCTTTCCAATCATAATTGTATTTTTTTCTCATCGTTATCGATCCATTATGCTTCAGGCTTTGGCACAACTACATTATCCGCATTGGTCATAGTAATTTCTATTGGACCATTAAGGATAACGTTCCATATTTTTCTGTCTATGGAGTTTATATGCACACGCATACAATCTTTCCAATAACTACAATTTTCACCGTTAAAAACAGGAGCCCTATTGTACGCCCCTTTAGGTTCGTTTGCCATTTTCTATCTCGTTGTATTTGAAGCACCGAATAACCGGAGCTCTAGATACCACTTGTTAGACTATGGCACGGATCTAGAAGGGGGGGGGGGGGGGGTTGAATAGATCCCCAATTAAAATTTGAGTCGGCGCTACCAATTTAAAATTGGTTTTAGAAATGTTTTAAGTGCGGAAGCGGACGAGGAAAAATATAGTCTAAAATGAACGGTTATTGGAAAACCGGATATACGTAAGCCTATGGATTAATGACAATTCGGAAAAATAGAATCACAACACAAACTACGCTTATCAATTATTTACTTCAATTGTAAGGATTCCTAGTTCCAATGATTCAAAATCAAACCAAAACTAGATACACAAGTAAGATAATTTTGGCTCAAGCAATATGTCAAACACTTGGTGTGCAAAAACACTCCAAGTGATGTTTATGTTGAGTAAGTGATTTCAACCAGCCTAGTACAATGTATTGTTGTACTTTAGAGTTAAAAACAAAGTTTTAACCTCTTACTCAATTGATATCACAATTTTGACAATAGAGCTTACACAAAATTACTTATTTGAGCTGAAACGTAAATGCTGAAAATAGAGAAGACAAGTAATTTGGTGAGGCAGTTCCCTCGTTGTCCTCGCTTCGGGGTACGTCTGCCCTCAATTCTAAAACTAGAATTGAGATATATTGTATAGATATCACATGTTTGAATGAACAGTTTATACAAGGATTTAGCAGCAAATATACAACAAAAATCTCAATGTGTTGAAAGTTGCCTTCACTCCTTGCCCCTTGATTCAAGCTGAATCAAGTTCTTCAATTTGTGTTGATGGACCTCCGACTCCAGCCACCTTATTGAAGAACACGTTGTTGTTCAAACCTTTGGCTCTGGCTGATCTCAACAACACCAAATCGAACCCGAGATCTTCCCTTCAAAATCACCGAATCCGCTACTAGACTTATGAAGACCACCTCTTCACAATCACCTTTGCTCGATTGATCGTTGATGAAGAATCTCGTCCAAAAAACCCCCAAAATTCGAACCAATCTTGGAGGGCAAAACCCCAATGGTTTTATTCAAGAAAGAACCTGTCGCAATCTTCAACCCGAGCTTGATTCTCCAATCTAAGCCTCGAACCTTATCACCTTGAATCTCTTACAAATGCATTTCAAAAATGATTGTGTGTAATTGAAATGTTGTGAGATGTTGAAGATGAAGATGATGAATCTTGGACACCTATTTCACTCTTTCTTGTTTTTGAACACATGAATCAAAAGAATATCAAATGTTGGTGGACACAAGTGTTTAAGCAAGTATATATAGTGCCAACATAATTCAGGACATAACAGTATTTCAAAAATGAGAGGGAAGTATTTTAAAACAGATTTTCCGCGCGAACGGTCGACCATAACAGGTCTGTGCGTCGACGCATGACCTGTGCTGTTTTGGATTTCTGGAAAATTTCACCAGTGTGCATCGACCATACAGTCGGCGTGCGTTGACCCGTTGAAATTCATTTCCTTTGTGCGCCGACCTATGGTCGACCCATTGCTTTTATGCGTTAACCCGCTGGAATGTCATTCCTTCATGAGCTGACCCTATGGTCGACATGCTTTGTGCGCTGACTGATTTCCCCTTTTTCTGATGAATACGCCGACCCTATGGTCGACCCATGTCCTGCAAGCCTGCAAAAATTCATTAGTTTGAAGTTTTTCATGCCTTTAGTCATGATTGCATTTTGTCAACACAAAGTATATTCATTTCAGAAATTTTAAGATAAGCGAAAGAAGGATATGGTGGGTGATACGTTGCATCTGGTTTAGTGGATCTGGAATTCATACTTTCCAGTCTATCTTGGGAATTTGTCATCATCGAAACCTGCATTTACCAATGTCTTGCAGACTTGTGTGATATGTGGCAATTTGCCTCCACAAATGCTACTGTATTTGGATTTTACCATAATATACTATAACTGCATACCAAAGATACAAAATAGAGCTTGGACTAAATTCTGAAGAAACCCATCCAAGGCCTGGTCACGTTTTAGTGTGGCGTTGTGACATCATCCTGGCCTAAAATCTTTTAAGTCAATACAAAGGAGAAAAAATGTAACCGCATCTTTAAAACATGTCTTAATCTTCAAAACCACCCCTAAGTATGTCTTAAAGATGATCACATCATTATCCATGCAAAACCTCCAATTATAATTAGATATTTTGAGACAAGATTTGAGCTTGTTTATCTTTCAATTCAAATTGAGACCCCTTTGTTTGAACACAAATTGGTGGCCTCTCGGGAATCATCTACTATCGGCCAGAACCTCCATTTTTATGTCATCAAATTCATTTTAAGATATGAACACCCTCATTGGCAAAACCGCTCTTGGAAGCATGCCCAAGAACCATGGTCTTACAAACTAACTAACCACTTCTTTAACCACACATTCCTGACTTGCCATCCTCGAAACAATTTGGGTTTAGACAATAAGAGAATGAAATAAAAGAAACATATTTTTTGAAATTTTATAAAAGAAATATACAGATGAAATTTACACGGATAGTACAAATTTAGGGTATGACAAGTACGAAATACAAATTGTACATAATATAAATATAACATCTTTTTTATTAGATTGTCATAACTCTATATATAAATACGTTTTTTTCACAAGAATTTATTTCAGATAAAATTGGTAGTTTTTTTAATTTAAATAAGATTTTTATACTTAAATTTGATATTCAATTCACTTTTATATAAAAACATATAACAATCACTTTATTTTCAACTCACTTTTAATCCGAATTAATTTTACAAAATAAATTAACTAAAAAAACAATCAATGTTAATTGATTCGAAAACCAAACTCACTCTTTATTGTTTACTAAAAATGACCTAATCTAAAACTAACCTAACTATTCAAAATTAAATTGAAGTGTAATGGTAAATGCAATTTGTGGTGAAATAAATCTCAACCAACAAACAACCAACATCTTATCATCTTTATATCCAAACAAGAAGAATGTATGAAAAGAGTAGACAATACATAAATAAAGAGCTGTTTTTACCCCAATGTATTCCTATCCTACCAATAAAATAACACTAAAATTATTCAATACCATAGTAAGAAGCAAACCTATTGACCCATTAGGGAAAACACTCTCATTTCCCTTTCTCCCAAAATCAGGTCCCATCCCATCCTTTTTTAGATTCTCACAAGCATTTCCTAAAACACATAATCATCCTAAAACTCCTCAAATCTATACAAAACTCATCTTTCTCAAACTCTCAAACACTTCCTCCAACTCCACCATGCCAAGTGCTAACAGCACCTCCCCAAAACCCTTCAAACCCAACAAATCTACCTCTTTTTTCAACTGCAAAAAAACAAATCTTTACTCCCTCCTAGCTCTTCTTTGCATCATTTCCTACCTTTTAGGTTCATACCAAAACAACACTACCACAACAACAAGCAAAAAAATCACCACACCTCAATGTCTCCAAAAAAACCCAACAACAAACCCAAACCAAAACCAAAAAACAGCCAACTTAGATTTCTTCCCACACCACAACCTAACAGACCCAACAACCTCATCCACCACATCCTCCTCCACAAACCACCGTTACCCACCTTGCACCCCCTCACTAACAGACTACACCCCCTGCGAAGACCGCGCGCGTTCCCTAAAACACACGCGCGACAGAATGATTTATCGCGAACGACACTGTCCAAAGAAAAATGAAATACTAAAATGTCGTGTTCCGGCACCAAAGGGTTACAAAAATCCATTCCCATGGCCCACAAGTAGAGACATGGCATGGTATGCAAATGTACCTTACCGTCATTTAACGGTGGAAAAAGCAGTTCAAAATTGGATCCGTTTTGACGGAGATAGATTCCGTTTTCCTGGTGGTGGTACCATGTTCCCAGGTGGAGCTGATAAGTATATTGATGATATTGGAAAACTTATAAATCTTAAAGATGGTTCTGTTCGAACCGCTGTTGATACTGGCTGTGGGGTAAGCTTCTTTCTTTTCAAGTTCTTTTTATGGTAAACAACTTCATTTATTTTAAATTTTAACAGGAATTACAATAATCAATGATATGTGAATTATTTTTAAATTTTAATGAGAGTTATTTTTTGAGGAGTTTTTAATAGGAATTAAAAATTAGTGATATGTCTATTAGAGAAAAAGACCTTAAGTAATTCTGAATTCAATTTAAAAGATTATAAGTTTGATAGAGGATTATTTTTACTAGAAATCAAAGTCAGTATTGTATCGATTAAATTTTTGTTAGAAGAGTGTTAGTAACACTTTCTTCTATTCATCAATTATTATTATTATTATTATTATTATTATTATTATTATTATTATTATTATTATTATTATTATTATTATTATTATTATTATTATTATTATTATTATTATTAGAATTAAATTATTATTTAATAATTTTATATTTTTTATTAAATAATTTGGTGGTTAAAATTGAACAAATAAAATATTATATGTTCAAATCTACATCTCACCATTTGACTGCCATCCGTTAATGTAACTGAGCTGAGCTGATCTGATTAACAAGACTACAGATAGTCCTATATTTATAATGTCTTAACCTTCAAAATTTTTTTAACTATTCACTCAATTCTTTCAAATCGATTGAGATTTTAGATACATTTTCAACTAAATTTTATTAAATTAGATTATATAATAGTGTGTTATGATTGTGTACAAGAATGTTGTTAGTAACTTTTTTGAGATTACTAAAATTTTGATTTTTTAGATAGAATTGATTTATCTGTAGATTAATTTTTCTGAAATTTGAATTTAAATATGATTTAAATTTAAAATTTAGCTTTAAATTTATTTTTGTATAAATATATTCAAACAGAAATTAACTAATTTATCTTGATTCAATTTTAATTAGAATTAATATTATTAACTTAGTCTATTTAAATTTAATTTTTATTACTGTATAATCACAAAACCGCTAAATATTGTTATTTTTAGTGAGTAGTATTATTATTTTTACATGAAGTATATTGGTACATTAAGTAACAAAAATGGATTGAAACATGACGTCTTTCTATTTTTTCTAAATTTTAATTATGTTGTGCATTTTACTTTAAGGATAAGAATGATTTTCATATTGTTTTGAGCCACAACTTTCAATTTCCTTTCACATACTTCTAGGACTAAAAAGATAATTTTTGCACTCATAAGAAATTTTGGTACATAATAATATTTTTTAAAGCATATTAACAAAGTCGTATTAATTTTTCAAAAATCTCAATAAAATAATTTTTCGCATCCTATTTTAATTGTAAAAAATATTTTATAATCTTTTAGGTTTTTATTTTAATGTGTCAAATTTTAAACTTTGTATAATAGTTTAATTTATATTTTCATAGAAGATAAATTCTAGTGTTTTTGTAAATCTCATGCATGCACAAGTAGCCTTACATTTTTAGTAGTAGGACTAACAAAGGAAGGTTTTTTTGGTTTATATATTATGAACCTAAGGAAGGTTTATTTTGTTTATAAGAAGTTAAGGAAGGTTTTATCTCTTTCCCTATCTCATAGGAAATGTGAACATGGCAAGGTTGGCGTGAGGTTCCAAAAATGGAAATTGATAGGGTGTTTTGTCTTTGTATGGGGTAGGCTTTTGGGTTATTATTGTAATGGGGCATGTAGTAATTTGTTCCTTTCTTTAAAACAATTTTCTAGTCAATTCATACTTTTAATCGATGGACCCAGAACAAGTATAAATCGCTCTCTTACTTTTCTTTTTCATTACTTATTTTCTTTTAAATTTGTATTTATACATTTTTTTTTATTTTAAAATCAGTGTCATTCTTATTTTTTTAATGTAGTAATGATTATAATTTTTTAATCATGTCTTTTAATTATTATTATATATACTATTTTTAATACTTTAATAAAATTAATTTAATAAAAATATAATTTATGTGTAAAAATCTTAAAATACAGTGATTTTAAAACGGTGGAATAACTTTTTTCGTCATTTCATATATATTATATAAAAAAATTATAAATGTATTGTGTATTTGTTTATAATTACCATGCATATAAAGTTACAAATATTCATTTTACAATGATAAAAGTAATATATTAGTGGACAAATAATACTTTTTTGGGTTAGAAATAACTATATTGATTAATAAAGAGTATTTTAAAATGATTGATTGTTATTAATAGAATATTATTAATTTTTTTAATTATGTTTTTGGATTAATATTTTTGCATCATTTTTAATTTAATATATTTTTAATCTTTTTATTTTAAAATAAATATTACCCCATTTCATCATTTTCTTTATCACAATCTATGCCAATAACTTTATATGTAGCATCAAGTATAATAGAGTAACATTTTTTTAATATATTTTTCTGATTTTGATTTTGTATTCAGTATTTTCAAAAAAATTTATACTTAGTAAAATAGACATTTAATTATTTATTGAGATGATTGATTTACACCCTCCAATCACTATTATAATAAGTTTAGTTTTTTTAATTATATTTAACAATTAATACATTTAGTTTATACATCAACTGTCAAATATATAAAGAATCAAATTTATTTATAATAATGATCAGGTATATATGTAAAAGAAAATTGTTAAAAAAATTGATATAGAATGATTTATGTATATAAGCTATATAAGTTGTTGATTTTTTAGCTAGAAGTTGGTCTCTGTAGGTCTCTGTATGTGCCTTTGCTGATCAGTTTGGGCCATTCATGAATGGACAGACAAATGGAAGATTTCTGAAACTATTTTTGCATTTCAGCACTGCCTAGACCCTAGAGATTCTCTATGTATATAATACCACTGTATAGAATACCATAAAATAATATTAAATTTATCATAAAATAAGAATTTAGCCGCAATATTAAATTTGTTAAGGAGAGTTTCACTCTTAAAAATAAATAAAACTCAGGTGACTACAATAGGAATGGACAGGGGCTAGGTAGGTGTTTTTCCGGGAAGTATGGGCATATAGATCATTGATTATATATATCTAGGTCTTATTCTAAACTTATGATATATTATAAAAAATATATAAAACTTTAGACATTTAATGCCTCGATGTCCATAAATTATAATACGTGAATTATAATAAATATTGCATTAAATGCACGTGCTGGTCACATGATTAAAGGGTTCAGTATAAGTTTTATTCTATTGTAGTACTTTTAATGCTACTAAAATTATTTTTTATTTATCATAATTATGGAAGTGAGTATTGATTAATTATGTGCATTTCAGGTTGCTAGTTGGGGAGCATATCTTTTATCACGTGACATATTAACAGTGTCAATTGCACCAAGAGACACTCATGAAGCACAAGTTCAATTTGCTCTTGAAAGAGGTGTTCCTGCTATTATTGGTGTCTTAGCCTCTAAAAGATTGCCTTTCCCATCTAGAGCTTTTGACATGGCACATTGTTCTAGATGCCTTATTCCATGGCCTGAATATGGTATGTGCTATTCTAACTCAACTCTTCTGATTCAATCAAATAATTGAATTGAACTGGATTGGACGGAAGATTGAATTATAGTAAAATGTCAGTTGAACTAAATCAAACTGTTTTAATTTATTCAAAATCAAATTTGTGTTGATTTTTTTTCTAGATGGACTTTATCTAAATGAAATTGATAGAGTCCTACGTCCCGGTGGATATTGGATTTTATCCGGACCACCAATTCGTTGGAAGAAATATTGGAAAGGATGGGAAAGAACAAAAGAAGATTTGAATGAAGAAGAAATCAAAATTGAGAATGTTGCTAAAAGCCTTTGTTGGAACAAATTAGTTGAAAAAGGTGATATTGCTATTTGGCAAAAACCCAAAAATCATTTAGATTGCAAAATCACACAAAATAGACCTTTTTGCCAAGAGGATAATAACCCTGATAAAGCTTGGTATGTGCCTCGTTCATTTTTCTATCATGTTAATGTTTTAATTTTATTTATTTGATTCGAATCCTAATACTCGAGTTTTTAATAGTTATTATCACTTCGTCTCGTCTGCAGACAAAAAAATATTTATTTATTTAATGACTTTTTTTAGGTACACAAACATGCAAACATGTTTGAATCCCCTCCCTGAAGTTTCCAACAAAGAAGAAACCTCTGGTGGAGCATTAAACAATTGGCCTCAAAGATTAAAATCATCTCCACCAAGGATTTCAAAAGGCACCATAAAAAGTGTCACACCACAAACATTCTCAAAAGACAATGAGCAATGGAACAAAAGAGTATCATATTACAAAAGTGTAAACAGTCAGCTTGGAAAAGCTGGTAGATACCGCAATTTATTAGACATGAATGCTTATTTGGGTGGATTTGCAGCTTCACTTGTTAAATATCCAATTTGGGTTATGAATGTTGTTCCAATTCATGCTAAAGTTGATACTCTTGGAGCAGTTTATGAAAGAGGGTTGATTGGAATGTATCATAATTGGTTAGTGGAGTGTTTGTTTTTCTATATTAATTTCTTTTGGATTTTTATAAGAGTTTGAATTTTAATTATTTATTTGCAGGTGTGAAGCTATGTCTACTTATCCTAGAACTTATGACTTGATTCATGCTGATTCTGTGTTTAGCCTTTATAGTGACAGGTATGCATTTATTTTGTGTTTTATTATTACTAATTTACATATAAAATAATATATTGACAATTAATATATCTAATTTATATAGATTACATACAGAATATATAAATGATATATATTGAATAACACATGTATGTTACTTATATATAGATGATATACATTGAATAAGTGATATATATATATATATATATATATATATATATATATATATATATATATATATATATATATATATATATATATATATATATATATATATATATATATATATATATATATATATATATATATATATATATATATATATATATATATATATATATATATATATATATATATATATATATATATATATATATATATATATATATATATATATATATATATATATATATATATATATATATATATATATATATATATATATATATATATATATATATATATATATATATATATATATATATATATATATATATATATATATATATATATATATATATATATATATATATATATATATATATATATATATATATATATATATATATATATATATATATATATATATATATATATATATATATATATATATATATATATATATATATATATATATATATATATATATATATATATATATATATATATATATATATATATATATATATATATATATATATATATATATATATATATAAACGGATCCAATCCGTTCGATATTTTCATATCCTTTTGAGGGACAAATTAAACTTTTAGATCTATATACTTGAATATATCCGTCCTTTCTTCATCTTTTTCGGGTTTTTGTGGTGATATGCATTATCAAGAATTTTATAACTTTTAGTATTTAAGACCGCAAGGTTCATATACTTGTCCTACCCTACTTTCATATATATATATATATATATATATATATATATCCTACCCTACTTTCATATATATATATATATATATATATATATATATATATATATATATATATATATATATATATATATATATATATATATATATATATATATATATATATATATATATATATATATATATATATATATATATATATATATATATATATATATATATATATATATGGAAAAACGGATTCAATCCGTTCGATATTTTCATATCCTTTTGAGGGACAAATTAAACTTTTAGATCTATATACTTGAATATATCCGTCCTTTCTTCATCTTTTTCGGGTTTTTGTGGTAATATCAAGAATTTTATAACTTTTAGTATTTAAGACAGCAAGGTTCATATACTTGTCCTACCCTACTTTTATTTTTGGTAAATTCTTCCATACCCACCTGATTAGAAAGGGTATGAGTACCCATCATAGGTGGATCCATACACCAATTGATACATATTCTCTTTTAATCCAATTCATCAATTTCTTTTTATTTTTAGATGTCACCCATATAAAATACCATTTTTTATAATATTCTATTATGGATAAATTTTAAAATTGGAAAATTTTCAAACAACAAATAAGTATCCAATTTTAAAAACTCTAATTTAAATCTTCAAAGATTTTTAGTTTTATTTTCAAATTGGTTGAAACAACCATCACAACTTATAATTATCCGTAGAACTTTTTAGCCTAATCTACTCTTGTTGAAAGCTGTTAAATTCTGGTTTTTTAGAAATTTAACAGGTGTAATCGATTACGCATTTGTTGTTAATCGATTACCACTGATCAAATTTCAACAAATACCTGAATTTAACAACATGGTCACTTTAGTTGGTTTTGTTTTTTTTGGATTATTCTCTCAAGTGTATAAATACATTTTGTAATTTCCAATTCCAATTAATGTCAACCTTAATTCATCCAATAATACTCTCTATCCTAATTCTCTTTCTCTCTCAATTTCATCTTCTTCTCCAATTCCTTTTCCACCATTATTACTACCTTCAATCTTTGTTTTTTGTATCTTGTTCTAACATTTGGCATCAAGAGCTTCGGTTATTGATCCTAATCCGTTGCAACAATGGCTACCGTTTCTAATGATCGAATTCCCATCAATCTCCCAATTCTTGATTTGAAGAACTACGAAAAATGGGCGAAACAAATGAAGGTTCTGTTTGGTTATCAAGAGGTTCTTGAGATCGTCATCAATGGAGTTACACCGTTAGGGGAAGATGCTACCGAATCTATTAGGGCTACACACAAGGAAGAAAAGAAGAAGGATTACAAAGTCCTATTCTTGATTCACTCTTGTGTTGATAACGAAAATTTCGAGAAGGTTGGCGATTGTAAATTCGCGAAGCAAGCATGGGAAATCTTGGAGAAAGCATATGTCGGTGCCGTCAAAGTGAAGGTGGTAAGGTTACAAACTTACAAACGTCAATTCGAGTTAACGCAAATGGAGGACAAAGAAACGATCAACGATTACATTACGCACATTACCCGGTTAGTTAATCAAATCAAGTCATGTGGCAAAACGATTCTTGAGTAGAATTTTGTATCGAAAATGTTGCGTTCGTTAACATCACAGTTCGATAATATAGTTGTGGCTATTGAAGAGTCAAAGGATCTAACTACTTTGAGCAAGGGTGAGTTGCAAAGTTTGTTAGAGGCGCATGAACAAAGGATGGATGAGAGAGGTGCCGACAAAGCCAAAGCGGATATCGCTTTGCAAGCACATTTTAATGAGAAGAATAAGAGGTCAAAAGGAAAATTTGCAGCTAGAGGTAAGCCAAATTTTCAGAAGTTTGGTGCAAACGAGTCTCAAAATTCGAAGAATTCGACGGGTGAAAAGGGTGAGAGCAGCTCCAAGGAGAGTGATCATAACAATGGTATCAAAAGGGATTTGAGTAAAGTGCAATGTTTCAAGTGTAAAAAGCTTGGACACTTTCAATCTATGTGTCGTGTTAGATTGAATAAAACTCGAAATGATGAAGCCAAGGTTGCTAGAGAAGAGGGAGATGATGAAGACACCTTTCTAGTGATGATCACAGAGGAGAATTATGGCACTGTTGATGTTCAGAACAACAGCTACTGTGGTGATAATTTGTGGGACAGCAGCTGTACTATTTCGAAAAGTGATAAGAAAATGCATTCGGATCGAAATGCATTAGTTACCGTACGTGATGAAGTTCAAAGTAAAGATGAATGGTACTTGGATTCCAGTTGTTCAACACATATGACGGGTCGGAAGGATTGGTTTGTGGAAATCAATCAAGCGGCGAAGAGTAAAGTCAAGTTTGCCGACGACACCACTTTAATCGCCAAAGGGGTAGGAGATGTTTTGATCGGAAGTAAGAATGATGGACATTCAAGGATCAAAGATGTCTTGTACATACCGGGAATTAAGTGCAATCTTTTGAGCATTGGCCAATTACTTGAAAGAGGGTACTTAATTCGGTTGGAGAAAAAGATGTTACACGTTTTAGATTCAAGTGGTGTGTTGATTCTAAAAGCGCCGATGGCTTCCAATAGAACTTTTAAGGTTGAGTTAAAGGTTATGGAGCATCGTTGTTTAGCTACCGCGACAAGTAGAGATGAGTGGTTATGGCATTGTCGTCTTGGTCACCTAAATTTTAGGGATCTCAAAATGTTGCAACAAAGTGAAATGGTAACGGGGTTGTCACATATTAGTGTTCCGACAGAATTGTGTGTGGAATGTGTGAAGAGTAAGCAACACAAGAATGTGTTTAGCAAGGATGCGGGTCGAAGAACCAAAGGCTTACTTGAGGTGGTGTATTCCGATGTTTGTGGACCGATGCAAGTAGAGACTTATGGCGGCAATTAATATTTTGTTACGTTTATTGACGACTTTAGTAGGAAGCTTTGGACATATCTTATCAAGAGGAAGGATGAGGTATTTGGAGTGTTCAAGAGTTTCAAATCCATGGTGGAGCGTCAAAGCGGCCGGAAGCTCAAAATTCTCAAAACGGATGGTGGAGGTGAATATACCTCTAGTGAGTTTGGGAAGTTTTGTGATCTTGAGGGTATCGTGCGTAAGGTGGTGCCTCCATATACGCCTCAACAAAACGGAGCTGCCGAGAGGAAAAATCGTACAATAATGAACATGGTGCATAGTATGCTTTGTGGGAAGAACTTGCCTAAGGAATTGTGGGATGAGGCCGTGTCTACAGCCACCTACTTCTTGAATAGGTGTCCTACTAAGAAGCTGGAGAAGATCACACCAGAAGAGGTTTGGAGTGGTTTTAAACCGAGTGTGAATCATTTGCGGGTTTTTGGATCGATTGCATATCGTCATGTACCGAATCAACATAGAAAGAAGTTGGATGATAAAGGTGAGAAGTTGATATTTATTGGATATCACTCTACTGGAGGTTACAAGTTATTTGATGAGAAGAATCGAAAAATCGTGATAACCCGGGATGTATTTTTTGAAGACATAAAAACTACTGAAACAACAGGTGTAATCGATTACCCGATTGCTGCTAATCGGTTACACCCTGCAGAACAACAGCAGTTCTTCGAGTTGTTTGATCCAGAGGGTTCTGATGCCGCTGTACCGACACCTACAGTAGCTGAAAATATTGTAGTGAATAATGGTAGACCAGTGAGGCAAAGAGCCTTGCCTCATACACTCCGAGACTACGAGAGGTTCCAAGATAACGAAGTGAATAAAGATGGTGATTTTGTTCATTTCGCGCTTATGGCCGAATCTGAACCGGTGAATGAGAAGGAAGCCTTAAGAGATCCTAAATGGATATGTGCAATGATAGATGAGATGGAATCTATTGAGAAAAATGGTACTTGGGAGTTGGTCGATTTACCACTCGGAAAGAAACCGATAGGTGTGCGATGGGTCTATAAAGATAAAGCAAATCCTAAAGGTGAAGTAATCAAGCACAAAGCTCGATTAATGGCGAAAGGGTTCTTGCAACGTGAAGCTATAGATTACGAGGAGGTATTCGCACCGGTGGCTAGATTGGAGACTATTTGTTTGGTTGTTGGGATTGTGCATAGCAACATTGGGTGATTTACCAAATGGATGTAAAATCTGCGTTCTTGAATGGTCCTCTTGATGAGGAAGTTTATGTGGGGCAGCCACCCGGTTTCGTGATTAAAATCAAGAGAGGATGTATTACGAGCTACACAAGGCGTTGTATGGTTTGAAACAAGCTCCAAGAGCTTGGAACAAACGTATAGACGGCTTTCTTGTTGACATCGGTTTCAAACGATGTGCATCTGAACATGGTGTTTATGTGAGATCGGATAATATTGATGGTGTTATTATACTATACTTGTATGTTGATGATCTCTTGATTACGGGCAGCAATGACAAGAGTATTTCAAGGTTCAAAGGGGAGCTCATGAGTGAGTTTGAGATGACGGACCTTGGGGTCATGAGTTACTTTCTTGGCATAGAGTTTCACAAGTCAAAAGTGGGGTTGCTTATACATCAAAGGAGGTATGCTGTATATATCTTGAGAAAGTGTGAGATGGAGCATTGTAATGCTTGTATTACACCTTGTGAGGCTAGAGTATAGCTGTCCAAAAGTGATGATGAAGATGATGTTGATCCAATATTTTACCGAAGTTTGATTGGATCGTTACGGTATTTGTGCAATACTCGACCGAATTTGGTTTTTAGTGTCGGTATTGTGAGTAGATTCATGGAGAGACCTAAGGTGTCTCACTTGGCAGCGGTCAAGAGAATCCTTAGATATGTGAAAGGCACTCTTGGTTGCGGAATTCTTTTTCCCGCATCGGATATGGGTCGCAAATATACTTTACTTAGCTACACCGATTCTAATTGGTGCGGAGATAAAGATGATCGAAAATCGACGACGGGTTACATCTTTATGTTCGATGGTACACCAATCTCATGGTGTTTGAAGAAGGAACCGATTGTAGCACTCTCTTCTTGTGAGGCCGAGTACATTGCAGCGTCGTTGAGTGTGTGCCAAGCTATGTGGCTTGTGAATCTTATGAAGGAATTGGGATGTGGTGATGATGAGGTTACCACACTATTTGTGGATAATGTTTCCGCGATAAATCTTGCGAAGAATCCGATTGCACATGGAAGGAGCAAGCATATTGAGATGCGGTTTCATTACTTGAGAGAATTGGTCGGTGATGGAAAGCTTAGATTGAGCTATTGCCGAAGCGAGGACCAAGCTGCGGATTTGTTGACAAAGGGTGTGACAAATGAGGTGTTCAAGAGACTGTTGAAGAGCTTGAGCATGATGAACTTGGAGCAACTAAAGTGAGGTGGTGTGTTGAAAGCTGTTAAATTCTGGTATTTTTTGAAATTTAATAGGTGTAATTGATTACGCATTTATTGCTAATCGATTACCACTGATCAAATTTCAGCAAATACTTGAATTTAACAGCATGGTCACTTTAGTTGGTTTTGTTTTTTTTAGATTATTCTCTCAAGTGTGTAAATACATTTTGTAATTTTCAATTCCAATTAATGTCAACTTTAGTTCATCCAATAATACTCTCTACCCTAATTCTCTTTCTCTCTCAATTTCATCTTCTTCTCCAATTTCTTTTCCACCATTGTTACTACCTTCAATCTCTGTTTTTTGTATGTTGTTCTAACAAGTCTGCAATGTATAATTATTTTTTGACATTACCTATATTGAAATTTGACATAAGGCTTTGTATCAATTTTTGAAACGAAATTGAAAAGCATTACTCAATAGTTTTTGGATAATGCGAACTTGTGCCTTAAGGGCACAAGTTAAGAACTAAAAGTAAAAATAAAATCTTAAAAATTGTGCATTATTTTTAATGATAATATAAAATTTAATCTAATTTATTGATATTTTTAATACAAATTTATTATAAATGTGTTTCTTAACTTATGCCCTAAGAGGGCAAGTTAGCATTATCCATAATTTTTTATAATATTAATGTGGTAATGAATTTCGGAGAAAGACTGAGAGGATAGACATAATTGAGGCAGAAGATTAAAAAAAAGTTGATCGGTTCGAGGAAGAAGACATAGAGAGGAGAGACATAATTGAGGGCAGAAGATTGAAAAAAAAGTTGATCGGTTCGAGGAAGAAGACACCGATGTGGTTTCTAGAAAAAATCATGAGAAAGAGGAATTGGTTGGGTAAATTTTTAGATATATGTAATGTAAGGGTATAACATATATTAGTACATTAATTATTAATAAATAAAATTAATATTGACGATGGAAGTTAAAACTATACACCGGACCTATCCCACTTATACATCTCACATAGATACAAGTACCCAATAAAATTTAAAAGGTACTGTAATATTCATCTTTATTTTTATAGGATAAGTCAAAATTTTAGACTCACATTTTCAATTATATCCGCTTTATTTTATTCTTATTTTTTAATACTTTTGCACCACAAAATTAAATAGGACGGACATGTTTTTTTTTTAACAAACTTAATATTTATGTAAAATAACTAATATATTTAGATAATTTGATCTATGAAATTGTCCAATAAATCGGAAACAAAAAACTTTACTTTTATATACGAGACCAGAATAATAATTAACATGTGTTTGTGGTTTATAGATGTGAATTGGAAGACATATTGCTAGAGATGGATAGGATTCTTAGACCAGAAGGAAGTATAATAATTAGAGATGACGTTGATATATTGGTCAAAGTAAAGAGCATAATCAATGGCTTAGATTGGGAGAGTCAAATTGTAGATCATGAAGATGGACCTCTTGAAAGGGAGAAACTTTTATTTGCTGTCAAAAAGTATTGGACCTCTTCTGTCTCTATTGATAATTCTAGTTAAGATGTGAGAAGTGTATTTTTGAACGATATATTTTTAGACTATATAAAATTGGTGTTTTCTCAGATGTGTGTACATCTGAACTCATGTTGGAGATGGAGATTTTCTTTTTTAGTTTATTTTACTCCTTACTCATTTTTATTTTATTAGTTTTCTTTGTTTTTGTTAACTTGTTATTCTTGTGTTTTTAATTGTTGACTTATGGGATTGTGGAAGCAAACTTTATTGAATGGAAATTCAGTTTAATTGTGTAGACATCAATCAATTCAGAATTTTAGTGCTTATGTTGAAATGTTTTGCTTTCACTTGTTATTAATTAAGTTTAATATCTATTTTGGTCTCTAAATTTTAGTCATTATAACATTTAATTGTTGAGTTGAAATATTTATTTATTTTATATTAATTAAAATATTACATATTTAATCAAGTTAGTGGCACAAGAATCATTTCTTTGTGCTGAAGTTCAACACTCTCTCTCATGAGAGAAACTCTTTCTTTCATTTCATCTTCTCAATTTTCACCTAAAAAAAACAACAGCACAAGCAAACAACAAAACGAAGTAAAATAGAAAAATACCGACAAGTGAGTATAGATCTGGAACAAGAAGATCAACGACGTGCGATCTGATCACAGTGACTGAAGAAACAAAATCAGACAGTGTTGTCTGCCAGTTCTTCCAATTTCTTATGTTGAATTTCGTTGTGAATATGAATATTAATGGTGTTTTTGTTTGTGATGTGTACTTGTTGTTATTTGATAAGTGTTTGGGGTGTTAATGATTTGAAAGGAAAAAAATAAAACAATGGTGATTTGTGACGTTGACGGAAGGAAAGAGGATGAAGTTCTGGCCATGGTGTTATGAGTGTTTTTTCTGCATAAATTTTCATGTGTTTTGTATCTGTTGTGTAAGCCCTTCTCTGTGATATTTACTTCGATTTAGAATAAAAGGAGAGATCCTCAACAATAAAACTGAATTATTTGGAGATTAAATTCATGATTTCTTTTCCATTATTGTTTGGGAAAGTTTTTGAGAGACTTCGATTTTGTTTTTACAGTTTGATTTTGGAAAGCATTGATAACCATGTATGAGATTAAGATATGTTCTATTTTCTTTTAAGAATACTGATGGAACCACGAATCCTAGTGTCCTTATAACACATAAGTTGTTTACCTGACATGCTAATTCTGTGAAGACGTGGCTTCTCAGATGTTTTGATGAAGACTCACCTACAAGGCTTCTCATAAAGTCAAGATGAATGAACAAAAAAGATTGATCAAGTCTCAAGCTCAAAGATCAAATATCAAGCACTATGAAGATTGGAGCTCAAAGGAAAAGGTATAACACTTAAACTCATGCATTGATACAAGTGTTCAACATATTTTTTTCTATGCCATGATCCTCAATAATACTTTTTGGTTGCATACAAAATGGTTTTGAAACTTGTTTTTTAAATTTTTTTTCAAAACTATTTTGAAGTAACCGGTTACTCTCTATAAGGTAATCGGTTACCTTATCAAGCGTTTCAATTCTGTTTTCCAAGTAACGAGTTACTCTCTATAAGGTAACCGGTTACCCTTTCAAAAGTTTTAAATTTTTTATACGTTACAGTCAAGTAACTGGTTACCCTTTATCAAGTAACCGGTTACCACTGAAGCAGAACCAAAAATTATTTTGCATCCCTTCATAAATTTTTCTGTTATTGTGTCTGATCAACCATGGCATCCTTTCATGATTTGTGACTTTCATAAGAGGTGTCATAGGCATATATAAACATCATTTCAAGTCTTTTACACCTCACCTCCTTATAAAATTTCAAATCATCTCTCATTTTCTCTCAATCTTCAAAAACCTTCAAAGTGTTCTTCAGTTTTTTTTAAAAGTGAAACTCTGCATAAATTTTCATATTTATCATCATAGTTTCATTTGCATACAGAGAACACTTGTATTACTGTCTTGAGATTTGAGTGTCACCAAAGAGAAGATCAATCTTGTGATTGATATCAAAATTTCATCTACCTATTCAAAACTCAGAATTATTGTAAAATCCTGAAATTTCGAGTATTGTTTGGATTTAGGTGCTGACTATAAGAAGAAGAATTGTTTCTCTTATAAGGTGTGATAAAATCCTTGTTATCCGGATTGTGGATACAAGAGTTCCATTATAAGAGATTTGTTCTTGATTGGACTTTAAACTTGTAAAATCCAAGAGGATTGTTCTTGGTGAGTTGTTAGCATCTAGTTTAGAAAGACTAGGTAGTCTTGTCTAAAATCTAACATTATAGTAAAATCTCTTTCATGCTGAAAGGGGACTGGAGTACCCTCGACCTGTGAGGAGAACCAGTATACTTCCTGGTGTTCTTTACTTTCCGCCTTTACAATATTTCTTCACTTAGAACTTTCTAGGAAAGTAAAAATCAGTACCGTCGAAAAATATGATAAATTCTCTAAACACCTAATTCACCTCCTCTTAGGTGCTTTCATAACTTACAAATTCAATAACCATTAACTTTTTTTTCACACAAATTAACACCAAATAATTTAACGGAAGTAAAGTTAAGAAATCATTATGTAACGACTTTTAGTTCGGGGATCAAAGCGAAACTTCGTTCAAAGATAAAAGACTTATTAACTAATTATGTCTATTAATTATTATTATTATTATTTTCAAATTTTATAACCTTTTTATCCAGAAAGTAGCTTTACCGAAAATGTATATATATATATATATATATATATATATATATATATATATATATATATATATATATATATATATATATATATATATATATATATATATATATATATATATATATATATATATATATATATATATTAAATTTATTTGATACAGTATAAAATATATTTAGATACACATTTATTTTTGAAATGAGTTACTTATTTGTAAAATGAATAATAATCATATAAATTTAATTGTATTAAATAATTATAAAAAAAAACTTGTGAGATAAATAATTTTTTTTAATATTTTAAAATAAGAATTTGTCTGTAAAATAAATGTAATTGTTAACTAAAATAATGAAATTGTTAACTAAAATAAAATAAAAATAGATAATGTGACACAAATTGAATTTAATGTGATGTCATTGATTCATTCTTTAATTATAACTTTTGATTTAAATGTATTTTTAGTCCTAGTAAGTTAGCACGTTTTTTATTTTAGTCCTTGTAAAATTTGTTTTTTGTTCTGAATTTCTATATCTCACTTTTTGCATGTGGTTTAGTCCCAAAGCCCAAATTCACTAAACATCTGCAAATTTTGGATTTAGGGACTAAACCGCACGAGAAAAACGAAATATATAAGCTCAGACCAAAAAAATAGGAAACAAAATCAAAAACTTACTAATTTACAGGAACCAATAAACTATTTAAATTTTTATATTTATTAAAATTACACTTATTAATTATTAATTATTTTTTAATTATCATGAATACAAAGCAAAAAATAATATTGATGACCGATAAAATATTCAAGTAGTTTAGTATTTATAATCATACAATTTAATATGAAAAAGTAAAAATAAAAATCATTAATTTAAACTTTAAGTGCTTAGCTACTAACTGGAATATATTATATGACTGTATTGAGATCAGTATTTGATCCAACCTACTAACTGGAATATATTATATGACTGTATTGAGATCAGTATTTGATCCAACCTACTAACTGGAATATATTATATGACTGTATTGAGATCAGTATTTGATCCAACCAATCTAACTATTGATGGTTATATAATCGGACAACTCAATTTCATTCAAGAAGCAATGATTTTTTAAAGAAAAATCTTGGCACATGAGTAACAAACATGAACCTACATCCGTAATATACAATACTTGAAGAAAAAATATTCTGCCAAGAGTTTATATTTTATCAAACTCAAAGTTAGTAGACTTGATATTATTAACAAAAAAAATGAAATATTCCCAAAGTACATATGCACTCCAACAAGCAAACATTTCAACCCTTATTTTAATCAAGCATGTATCTCCAACCGAAAAAAAGACTAATCATTACAGAACATAAGATTTGCATTCACACTATTCTTACCACAAAAATTATTTTCATATATTTGGTCAATTCACACATGAAGTTATTACCACATGTGAATGAACTTAAATCCAAAGAGAAGCTATCTCTGCATACACAGAATTTTGAGGCTAAATGATAGCTACACCACATATAAAGAGTAGTACACCAAGTCATAACTTCCTGCTTTTCTTAGATAAACTGAGGGAAAACATGAGGCAATTTCTACCTTCAATGACGACCTATGTTCGAGATAACCAACAGCATCGGAAAAAATCTCACACTTACTGTAGCAGAGCTAATTACAGTATCAAAATCTCTTGATTTGTTATTTACTCTCTCTTTACATGTTTTTTATTATAAATTTGTTATATCTCTCTATTGAGTATTACTTGCATTCAATTAAGGGTGTGTAAAAAAATCGGTTATTATTAACTAAATTTGTATCCAAATTATTTCATTTTTAAAAATCCAAACCAAATGTTAAAATATAAATCTGGTTATCCAAATATAAACCGGTTTCTATAATAATAATAATAATAATAATAATAATGTGGTTTAGTTATTGAATATCCAAATTTCGTTATTTATTAAATTGATATGTTTTTTTTTCTCTTTTCATGTTTTATCATATATACCTTATAAATCAATTATATATTTTAAACTATTTTAAAGTTAATTTTTTTAATTTTCATAAAAAAAATTATTCGACAAAACAAATTTTCTAATTACTTAAAATAGTGTACTAATACTTCACAAATTATATGGACTTTTAATAGTTAATTATATGAACTTTCAGTAATTAATTATATAGATTTTAATGCATTGAGTTTGATTTGACATGTTGAAGAAAATATAGCAAAACTTGATTTTTTAGATTTGACTCAAGTTTTCATTTATAAATCTCAAAAATCATTAAAGCTTTATGAAAAAATTGATTATAAATATTAT